CTGTTATGCCCGGAATCAAACTTTGAAGAGCAAAAGCTCTTAGGTTTGCCTCTGAACTTTGCTTCTGAAGCCCTTGCAAAAAGAAAACACTGGGGTCAGGGTGATAAGTCTAATGACAGTTCCCCCCTTCCAAAGAACAGTTGCTCTATTATTCTTTGAAGAGATTCAAGAAGGCAAAGGTAAGGCATCAAATAAGAGTTATGCCTATAGAGGAATTAGCAAATGTGTAGTAAGGAGTTAGGTAAATAAAACTTAGTCAAGAAAAAATAGAAGAAATGTGGTCTTGACAAAATCAAGTAAGTGAGGAAGTTCAAATGAGGAAATGGTTAATGAAATTTAAGAAAGTTACAGTACACTACCTTGTTTCCCAAACACACATCACATCCTCTATAATTGAGGAATAAGTAAGTTAAAAGAGCCACATTTACTTGAGAGTTTATCTCTCACTCCTTCCCCCCAAATATGTAGTGAAGGCAGTAAAGTTACTTCTGGTCTGACTCTAGGAAGGCACAGAAAATGTGTATATGTGATTTGAGAGCATTGGAAGCATAGGCCAGATCCCATATTTATATTCCATTATTTTCTTCATGTTTACCAAAAAATTGGAGATTTCTCTTTAGAAAAGCTTTTATCACTTCCTTTTTTTTAAAAAAAGATTTTATTTATTTATTTGACAGAGAGAGAGAGACAGTAAGAGAAGGAACACAAGCAAGGGAAGTGGGAGAGGGAGAAGAAGGCTTCCCACTGAGCAGGGAGCCTGATGCAGGGCTGGATCCCAGAACCCTGGGATCATGACCTGAGCTGAAAGCAGATGCTTAATCACTGAGTCACCCAGGTGCCCCACTTTTACTACTTCCTAGGAAATTATTTCTGCAGTAGCCAAAATGTGTAATTCTTTCTTTTTCTTTTCCTTTCTCCTTTATTTTATTTTTTTTTATTTTTTAAGGTTTATTTTTTTTTAATTCTAGTTTGTGTAATATTGGTTTCAAGAGTGGAACTTAGTGATTCATCACTTATATAACACCCCATGTTCATCACAAGTTCCTTCTTTAGTACCCATCACTCATTTAGCCCATCCCCTGCCCATCTCCCCTCCAGCAACCCTCAGTTTGTTCAAAATGTGTAATTCTTAACAACTTGGTTATTACAGAAGATATCCAGGCCTCACCAAAGCACTAAGGATATAGGCAAGATAAAGAGGGAGTTGTTAAAGTGGAAGAAAGAGAACTGAGATGAGAAGAGGGCCAGAGACGATTGTACTGTCTTTGCATTTTTTTGTTTGTTTGTTTTTAGATCTGTTTTTGGAAGAGTAGACGGGGACAATGGAAAATTGTGGGGTTTTTTTCCTGGCAAACTACAAAACAAATCAGACTATCAGGTCTTAACAACCCTTAAGACTAAAGAGAAAACATTCCCTCTGTCACTTCATCTTCTTTTCTGCCCATAAACTATATTCTAGAAAATACAGGATATTGTCATTCAAATAAACTTGGTCAACAAGTGAGTGTGAGGAATAATCTTAGTAGGGTGTGGATAGTAAAGAGTTTATCTGTGAGAGAAGTGGATGGCAGGGGGTGGAGTAAGATGGGGGAAGTTCTTCATCTTTCTATTTGAGAATAGAATGCACCTCTCCAGGGAGAGAAAGGGAGAGTGAAGCCTCATGGGACTTATCTATGTGTGTGAGAATACTGAAAAAAATACTCAAGTGTATCATTTTCTGAAAAAGTCACTAATTATACCTTGATTTCAGGAAGCAGAAAATATGTAATTACAGAGACCATCTTTATTATTAAAATACAAATTATAAGTTACAGATGAAAATAAATTCCAAGTGTAACATTTTCACAGTGTCTTGGAAGTAAAAACAGAAAGATGATATAAAAATGAAGTTACGCAAAAGTTCCACTTATGTACTCTTTCAGATCAAGGTAGCTTGATCTGTTGTTTCTAGGGCAGATGCTTCCTTTTGTATGGAATTAAGGGTTAATAGAATTAGCTGCTTACCTGAATGACACTGAAAACATAAAAACCATTTGAATATAATAATAATAATAATAACAATAACAATAATGACAATAATAATAACATGGAAATCACCCCATATTCATAATCTCTGTTTTTGGAATAATTATGTGTATGTTTTGGAATCAGAACTCAAAAAAACTTTATATAGGAAATGTGAGTTTATTTATCTTGAATTGTATATTACTATAGTTGAGGGTGCTTATTTTTTGCACCTTGATTTCATTGAACCCGGAGAGTGATAAATGGGAGATTCAAAAAGAAGATTTTCCAAGGAAAAGAGAAACTCAGAGAGGAGACTGCTGTCCAGATCGCAGCTACAGTAGCACATCCCTCCTACTCCTAAAAGCAATGCTTTTCTTCCGGAAATAAAGTCCAGAGCTGGAAGGGGAAAAATCAAAAAGAAAAAGGAAACAAGCAGAGTTGTGAGAAGCTGACATATTGTGATTAGATAGATAGATGATCAATATATAGATAGTGGATATATTTCTTAGAATTATGGTAAGCAAAGTAGGTGATCACTTACTATATATAATTTGAAAGACACTGCTGTAAAATCCACTTTCTTAAAAAAATCTTCCCCTCCAGTTTTCTTCAGTGTCTTTCATCCTTCCATTAAAAATAAGGTATTAACACTTTGAATTATGGTTTATCCCTAAAACTTGAATTCAGATAACTCTGGGCAAGTCACTAGCACCTTAGTATGAATAAATTGATCAGATTACTGACTAGAAGAGCAAGCGAATAGGACAGAAGGAAAAACAAGCGAATAGGACAGAAGGAAAAACATATCGATGGGGAAGAGGGGTAAATGAAGTAAATTACAACACTTAATACAAACCTAGATGGGCAGACCTGGGGAGAAGTGATGGTCTTAGCTACACAGCATAACAATACAGGACACTTGTCCTTCCTCCAGTGATGTAAATGATCTGCAAGGCCTTCTGGACCACGTAATAAATGGGCTTTAACCCCCTCAAACATTCCTCTAGGAAAGTCATTAATGTCCTAGAAATATTTCCTCTCCTTTTTAGAAAAAAATAGATATGTTTAAAGTAACATTAATATGCTAATAAAATTAAATCTCTGGTATCCCAAAATGACCCTAAAAAGTGTAATCCATGCTAATCTAAAAAATAGTAAAACAAATATAGTATAGACAAATATAAGTACCCACAAAATTATTACTTGTGATCCCATTGCAATGCTAAATTATATTCAAACACAAATCACTTTAAAGCAAACAGACCAGACATAGTTACAGTTATTCTTTTTAAAACACAATTTAACACTCATTTAGAACTCATAAAACACATCAAAATACGTAACTTACAATGAATAATAAGGAGATAAACACTATTGCTAGCAGCACAAAGTCCGTTTTCTAATAGGGTGTTATTTTAATAACAAAGTACAAGCAAAATCAATACTTGTCTAGAGAAAACATTAGAAAATTTTCCATTCCTCTCAGATATTAGAATTAATTTTGATTTACCAGTCCCCCCCCAATCATTTAATATCATAACTGTGTGCCTAAAACAATTCCTTTCCTATAAAAATATGATGGAGCCCTTGGTTGATTTCTACATTCCTTCCAGATGAGAAGTAGCATGTGTCTTTATTATATAGCACACAGATTTTTAAGTAGACCATCGTTTTAAATTAGAGCTTTTTGCTAAAACATGTTTCAAAGTACCATAATATTTTAGACCTCTGATTTAATATTGACTCATATCTTGGGTCTGCTACCTGCATACTAGTACCAAACAGGTAACAGGCAAATAACTGTAAGGGGAGTCCAATGCTACCAAAATTAATCTTTTGCAGTTTTTTTTTTCCAAAAAGGTGAAAGAATCTCCTTCCTTAGCTGCTGGGAGGTAGGCTGTGCAGGATTCACAATGGTATGACTGAGGCGAAGCTGGACCAGAAAAATTTCTGAAGACTCTACGGTCCACATGCCTGGCTGCCTTCAGTTCATGAAGGTGGCTTGACAGTCGCCTCTTAAATTAAGAAATACAACGTGGTGAAGCTTTTAAGAGGTGTACCTATCCATTTATTTTTTTGTTCTGGCCTCAGCTTAGTAATTAATTAGTGCACTACTTCTTTCATAGGCTCAAAAAGTGCAGTAACCTGTCAGAGATATTCAGTGTTACTTTAGAAGCATGGTGGAAACTCCCTCTATTAGGTAAGTCCATACATTTCAATAGGAATTCTTTAGAAATAGTTTAAGAGAACCAGAACTGTGATTGTCACTTATCTGCTGTCTTCTGGACCTATAGAGGCAATTTAGGTCACATTGTATGTACTTTGGAGAGCTATCTGACCTGGGTGGATTCAATATGACATCTTATGTAATCATAGAGGTTACTGTATGTGAATTTGTTTCTTGTTCTTACTTTAAACATACCAGAGACCTGAGTTCAGATTTTCATTTTATGAATAAGTGTGACAGATGATGTTTCATATTGACATTTAAATGAAGAAAATAGTTATTTGAGTCTTCAAACCCTAAAGTATAATCACACATGTGAGATGAAAATGGTTCCATGTTTATCCCACTTTGTTTTCACAGAATAATATATTGTCCATCTTAGTTAAAATACACTCAAAATATGGTATTTGAATATAAACTGTGATTACTAGTATGGATAGACAACTACATTGCCTCTAAATACAGAGACTCAGTGTCCATTGCAGCAAAACTAAGTGCTTATGATGAGCCCAAGCTAATAGTCTCTGTGTCTTAGGTTCACATAAAACTGATAACTCTAATTGAGTGCATATATATAGAATGTCACTGAAGTTTTACAGTTTAAATCCTGACTTAATAACAAATTATTACATGGACATGTCAACAACAGTGATGGTGGAATACAATGCTTTAAACAGGTTCTGTTATAAAGATGCAAATTCCTCATGTAGGTAAGATAGAGTTAAATGAAAAGCTGTGAGTGCTTCCTGTAATTACTTTCCAGTGGCTTGCATTTTCAGACCACATTCAGGTTTTGTTTTAATTTAGCATAATTCAGTTTTCAGAGTAGAAGTGGTATGGTTGCTTACAAAGGATTTTGCATGGAGTTGGATGCTATCTTGTCTTGAAAGTCGTCTTCTGAACTCATTAGTGGTGAAGTAGTATATGACTGGGTCAAGACAGGAATTCAGACTAGCAAGACAGAGGGCAACAGAATGAAATATTAGAATCACCCTTCTGGCTAAGCAGCTTTGAATTTTGTTGGACTTGACCAGGAAATCTAAAGGAAAACTGAAGTGATAAGGTGCAAAGCAAATTAGGAATACTCCTGCACAGGTTAGAATCATCTTCAAGGCTTTTTTTTTCTCCCCAAGATCCTGGGCCACAGGATATTTATCATGCAGTGATAAAACTGTCTTCCAGGTACAATACAGGACAATCAGAAGAGGAGTGACAAACCCAATCAACTCGCCAATGGTCATCATGGCAACAGAGTGAGCCAGATTGACATTCCTGGTAGGAAGATCCACAAAGCATTTGGTTCTGTTGCCTGAAGTGTCCTCACTGGTTCTGAGGAGAGGAAAGAGCAGACAGGCAAGGCAGATGATCAACCAGCCAGCAATGCTGATGTATAGGTCATATTTCTGTTTGCAGTCATGGAAGCGAAAGGGGTACATGAGAAACCAAAATCGTCGCACACTTATGCAGACCAAGAAGTAGATGCTTGCGTACATGTTGACATACTTCAGGTAGAAACAGAACATGCAGAGGCCAGGCCCAAATGGCCAGTCATAATTCAAGTAGTAAAAGATCCTCAGTGGCAGGGAGAGAACTTGTAGTAAGTCAGCAATGGCTAAGTTTATCATGAATATCACAGCCCGTTTGGTTTCTTTCATATAGCCATAAAATACCCATAAGGCTAATATGTTTCCTATGAGACCTGGTACAAGAATTACAGTATATGTCACTGCATAGATAAAATATCGAAAATCTGTCTTATATCCATCTGGCCCAGCACATGTATCATTAGCAGGCATATTTCCTTCCAGAGCAACTGTCTTCGCCAAATGGTGGTTCAAAACATAAAATCACAATTAACTGCCACTCTTTCTGAAAGACCTAATATCAATGGATTGGAGAGAGTGAGTATAAAATAAACTCCTTTTTACTGCATTGGTCTGAGCCTCTACACATAATTTTGGGGCTTTTCAAAGAACTATTTGCATATTCACCTTGGATTTTTTTTACAGTAATTACACTGAAGTCTAGTGTACAAGCACAGATAACAAGCTGTTATAATTTTTCCCTTTTGTTTACTGTTATAAGGCCTTCTGGGACATCATGACCGTTGATTCTCTCCCATTTGAATCATGAATGTGCACATAGCAGCTCTTCAAATTTCCATATGATGATAGCCATCTCTTTACAGGTGTTTGACAGGCTGTTTTTTCTTATGATTGCTTCACATAGAAGAAAGGTTTGCTTTAGTACTCAGTGAGTCCACAGTTCTTCAGATGTGATTAACTTGGATAGATCAGCTTTCTGAGACTTTTTCATTTATGTGTTGAAAGCTAAAAAGTGGGAAACAAAGGCAGAGCTGCAAGTGAAAAAACAAATAATTCAATTATTGTCTGACACTTCTTGCAAGAAAACAAAAAGTCTATGTGTACAAAAATCTGTTCATTTGAAGGAAAATTCTGATGTAAGTAAAGGGGACAAGTCAATTTCTATAAGTTACTTTAGAATCACAGGAAAGTATAGCTAGAAGTAACCTGAAAGGTAATATAGTCTGTGACTATGAACCAACTTTATTTGAGAGCTTGTTAGAAATGCCAAGACTCTCAGGCCCCACTTAGGACCTGCTGAATCACTCTGTAGTTTAACAAGAGCCACAGGTGATTTTTATGATTATTAACATTTGAGAGGTTCTGATTTAGACCACTGATTCACAAACCACATTTCGGACTCATTTGATGGAATTAAAAAAAAATTCAGCTTTCTATAAGTTTCCTGGTGTCTCCTCCAGAGATTCTGATTCAGTATATAAGGCTTCAAATTCATATTTTTAAAAATTTCCCACATGATTCAGATATAGTTGACTGAGCATTTCTCCTTGAACCATCATTATAGGGGCCACTGACTTGGTCAAAATCCTTCTCAGATGTCTGAAAATAAATGGGTAACAAACCTCTCTTTAAATACTTCATTTACATGGGTCATTTAGTCACCTTTCAATTATCCAAGATAACAGACCATAGTACCAGTAGAGAGAATCAAAATTCCAAGATAGTTGACTCAGCTGGATCCATGACCTTTGTTCTGAGCTAAGCAAATTTTAGCTTAGGGACTTGGATAGTTGCCTTAAGGCTGCTGAAATTTGGGAGGATTTAATCAACTTTAAAGATATGTGGGAAGAACAAAAATGAAATAGGAATTATTAAACATTCTGCTTTATATTATCAAATATATGGGCTTTAAAGTGTGCTTGATTCAGCCCCTGAAGGAATTGTTTTGTTATTATTTTGCCTCAATTGCTTGGTAAGAAAAATAGCATGTTTTGTTCAAAGATATGGTGTTCATTTTAACTAAAAGGCCTGATGAATGATATAAACTGATTGAAGAGGTTAAATACTTGAGATTTTTTAGGTAAGGACAAAGTAGAGAGATGGCATAAAATACAAGGAAACACAGCTGTAAAGAATAACATCAATATTGAAAGTGATTAAAATTAGAGATTGTTTAGTTCTCAAACTGAAATACATCTTTATAATATTTGCACAGGTAGTGATTTTGGATGACAGGCAAAATCGGGTGGCAGACCAAACAATCAAAAGCCCTGGGTTTTCAATCTCCTTTTAACTATTTATACAGAAGTCACTGTCTTCTATTGTCACTGAATAGACATTAGAAGTTTCTACAAATATACATCCAGTCAACCTCTAGTGTACATCCATCTTCCCTATCATGGGCAATGACTCTTAAATCTATATTTCATTTGAGCTGTAGCTCTCTTTCCAACTATATATAAGAACTCTTCTCTTGAATGTTTCATTATCACCTCTAAATTCAACACATGAACATGAAGTTATCTTTAATATCTTTATATTTATTCAAAATATGTCTTATCTTGGGTGGCTCAGTCGTTATGTGTCTGCCTTCAGCTCAGGTCATGATCCCAGGGTCCTGGGATCAAGCCCCATGTCGGGCTCTCTGCTTAGTGGGGAGTCTGATTCTCCCTCTCCCACTCCCCCTGCTTGTGTTCCCTCTCTAGCCGTCTCTCTCTCTCTGTCAAATAAATAAATAAAATCTTTTTAAAAGGTCTTGTTAGATTATGTCATGTCTTTGATAAAAACATCCTAATAACTTTTCCTCTCATTTAGAGGAAGATCAAAGTTCTTTACAATGACCTACATCGTTGGGGTGCCTGAATGGTGCAGTCAGTTAAGCTTCCAACTCTTGGTTTCAGCTCAGGTCTGATCTCAAGTTTGTGAGATCAAGCCCCGTGTTGAGCTCCATGCTCAGTGCGGAGTCTGCTTGGGTTTCTCACTGCCTCTGCCCTTCCCCACTTTCTCTCTCTCTCTCTACCTCTCTTACTCTCTCTCAAATAAATAAATAAATCTTAAAAAAAAAAAAACAATGGCCTAAATCTCTTTACATGATCTGGCCCCATTACTCCTTTGAGCTCACCTCCTGACATTCTCCCTCTTGCACTCTGCTCCAGCCACATTGCTATTCTTGCTGTTAGGGGAATGGACCAGGTACACTCCTGCCTTGAAGCCTTTGAATTGGCAGTTCCCTGTGCCTGAAATGCTTTAGCCCAGTTATTCACTTGTTTCATTCACTCACCTCCTTTAGATCTTTACCTCAATGTTAACTTTCATGAGGCTTCTCCTGATCTTTCTATTTAAAACTGCACCTCTCCTCCAACATTCCCCATCTCCTTCAGTATTTTATTTTACCCATTTTCAATCATAATTAACATACTTTGTTTTTTTTACTTATTTATTTTGTTTTATATATTTACTTATTTATTTTATTTTTATATATTTTCCCTACTAGACTGTAAAGTCCAAGGACAGGAATTCTCATATGTATTTGCTGTATACTAGAACCAAAGACTGTGCAAGACACAAAGTAAGTGCTCAGTATTTGTTGAATTAAATATTTCCAGTAAATAAAAAAATATTTGACTATAAAGGTCAACATTCTCAAACAAAAATTATCATCTCTCAAAACCTCAAACCTGATTCTGCTCTAGACTTCCTTATTGCTATTAAGTTCATCAATATTTTCCCAGGTTGCCTCAAAGTCTTGGAGACATTGACTCTTTGCCAATTGTCCTCCACTTCCAACAAGTTTCTAAGGGGGTGACAGCATACTATGAGGGAAATAATGTATGTTTAGAAGTTAGAATGACCTGGGTTTAAATTCTTGCTCTTTCAGTTAATAACTCTGTGACCCTGGGTATATCACTAAACCTCTATGAGCCCTCATTTTTTCATTGGTAAAATGAGAAAAATCATAGTAACTAACCTACAGAATCAGTGTGAGAATTAATTGAGCTACTATATGTAATATATTTAGCATAGTGTCTGGTACATAATAAACATGAATTATTATGACTGATACTATTTTCTGCAATGGCATTATTTCTCACAATGATCCCATTTTTGAAATTTGCATTGTTTTTACTCTAGTTCAGGCCTTTGTTACTGAATTTGTCTCCTATCCCATATCTTGTCCTACTCTATTGTGTATAATACCATCAGATTCTTTTTTTTCTGAGATGAACTTTTTAAAGAGAATTAATGGCTCCCTATTACCCATCAAATCACAAAGTGCATAGTCTTGTAATCAATGGCTTCCTTAAATACAGTGCCTTCTACCTTTAGTTTTGTCTCCCATTACTTCCCTGCCTTGATCACTACTCCAGCCAAACTGAGCTCCTTACTGTTCAAACTGACATTTTTGTTTTTTTCACAAACATCTGCATATTACGCTACTCATCCTGGAATATTGTCTTTTTGTATATCAGTCCTACCTATTTGTAAAGGCTTTTCTCAAATGTCCTTGTCTTCATGGAAACTTTTGTGATTAACTCGGCACTGTTATGCTAACCCCCTTTTCAAATCCTCATTTATATCTCTCTTAAAGTATTTAACTTTCTCTGCTTTTTAGTTAGTAATTTGTATCTGTGTCTTATTTATGCGTCTGTTCCCCTGCCTATTCCACCCTACCAGAACAAGCCCAGAAATTCCTTGAAGTCAGGGGTTGGGGCTTAAACACCTTTATATCCCCTGGAGCACCTAGAGCCATGTTTGGAATGTGATGGTTCACCCAAATATTTATTCAACATCTACCATCAACATTTGCCATACACCACTCTTGGTAGACAAAGACACATGATCTTTGTCTTCTTGGAACTTATTTTCTAGTGAGGCAGAATGGTAATTGCCACACAATGTTAAAAAAAAAAAGTGTGTTTGTAGGCGAACTACAGTGTACTCTATAAACATAAATAAAGGGAAACAACTAAAATATTAAGAACATATTTGCTTAAGTTAAGTGAAATCAAAGTAACCCTCCCAAAGTCTATAATTTTCCTGTTGGTTATTCTGTCATTGGCCACATTTAAGTTCATTTTCATATGTATATCCTAGCCTGTGACCTTGAAATGCTCCTGAATAGAATATCTCCCTTACAATTCCTCTGGCTTCTTCTGGGAGAGCTGACCATATTTTCCCTTTGTTTAAATAACATTATTTTCTAGTAGGAAAAGTTGCTTGGGATGACTGAAAGGCTTTCCAACATGGAAAAAAAACCCTACTTAGCTGTTCTATAATGAATATAAATTTCCCATTATCTAAGAGTAATGGAGACAAAAAAAAATGAAGGAGGCATTTTTTTTTTCAAAGCATGCCACTATTTTATGAGATTTTCCTTTCTCAGAAAAGAATCCATATTATAACAGGCACTGAAACAGACTCCAGTTTGAATGAGATATATATTTGAAGAAACATGCCAGACTCCTTGATCAAAGTATTTTTTGCTTTCAGGAGACTATTCT